GTTTGGTAAAAATGGTAAGCTTTAAAAAGGACAAAAACAATCTCAGTTATACATTCGAGCACTGTTCAAGTCCTAAACGTTAAACACATTCAACAGCAGAAGTTATATAAAAAATATTTATATAAATATATATTTTTTAAAGGCTGCAGTATATTCAACGTTTGGCTGAGTTATTGACATTAAAGTCAAATTACCAGTGGAACCAGTTATAAAAACAAGAGTTTAGTGTAATAACCCTGAAAACCATTTGCCAGGACCCCCATTTTAATGATCCAATACACACAAATCTGAGCACTTCACTTTATTTGCAGCATATTCCAGCAGTACATTTTTCAGCAGGTGTGACTCATTTGCAGACAAGAGCAAACATCCGTTTGGTTATAGAGTTGACACCAATTCTAACAATGTACATGCCAACACTAAGCCGATGGAAACAAAAACACACTGTGGTTTCCCAAGAGTGTGAAGTTACAACTTTACTCCATTTCTCAGACGCAGAAGGCTAAAGGAGCCAGATGAGACCGGTCTGCTGTTTGTTAGTCGTAGCAGTGGATTTTAGTTAAACAAAGCCACAGATTGTGGCTCAAGTTGGAGTATTTGCATTTAGCAGTTGTCAGAAAAACTAAACTTGTGGATCACTTGAGCCAGTTCTGGGCTGATTGGTGACGTGGGGTAAACCGGGCCCGAGTAACCACTTTCCTTTGCTGATGATAGTCCGAATGAGCGTTCAGAGTGAAGGACGGATCCTGATTAGACATGTCAATGAAGAAGGGCTCATTGTCATCTTCACTGGGATCGGAGCTCCACTTCTCGGTTTGGACCCAGTCCGGCTCACCGCCCCACACATACTCAGCGTATCCGGGCCCCTGATCCCCACCTGGACCCTCAGGGCTGAGATTTTGGTCCAGGAAATGGGAGTCTTCATCATCAGCCCCATCCGGGTCGCTGCTTCCATACAGCGATCGGTGGCTGTGGAAGTGGTCAGACAGCTCGGTGGGGCTCATGTAGCTGGGTTTGGATGGAGGAGGAGGAAAGGAGAACGCTGGAAGGAAATATGGCCACGAGGGGGTTGTGGTCCAACTAGGCCTTTGATCTAAGGACGGACAAATTAAAGAGGGAGTTGACATTTTACTGCTCAGCTTCTCACTGGATAATGTGGTTCGGTCACTTTTTGTTTTTGTTACCACTTTGTGAAGGAAAGCATGTGATGGAGCCAATCAGCAGACAAGAAATCCACAACACCCTGAAGAGAAACAGAAATATGCAGGGAAATGAGCACCATGGTTGATGAGTCAGTCATTTAATATGAAATTTACTCACTTCATTTTGAGACAAAAAACAGGCAGACTGCAGATATGGACACAGAAATTTGACCACACCTACAGAAGGAAGACTAAAAAATAAATTCAGATTAGCAAAAATTGATAACAAAGACATTCAAATGCGGAAAATAAAAACATCAGGTGGACTTACTGCTGCACAAAAACCCCTGTGGCCAATCAGGAGCTCCTCTGCCTTGCTCCCATTGGGATAGGCTTTAATACGGTGCAGAGGCCCCTGATTGCTCAGTGGTTACAGCTGCTGTTTCAGCCCTATTCTGCATCAAGCGTATTTATATGAGGCCCTTAATCCTTCATTCATGGGGTTCCCACACCCACCTGGTTTAATCAGGACCACAGGCAGGTTAAACCACAACACAAAAGGCTGCCCTGAGAAAAACAAAAAGCACCAGGAGAGTTTGAATCCAAAAATAATGATTGAAGTCACATAAAGAGTTTGCAGACACCAGACAAGAGTAGGAAGAAATTATCAAACGTTTGCATCGTCATCTGTTAATTGCTTTAATGGACACCTTAACTGACATTAGAAACAAATAATTCAGTTTAAAAAAAACTTTATTTATCCCAAAGATAAATTAAATGTTGGTGTAACTCATTTAGTGGAGGAGTTATCAGAAGTGTTGAAAGACCTTCTGTAGGGGTCTGTGATAGATAGATAGATAGATAGATAGATAGATAGATAGATAGATAGATAGATAGATAGATAGATAGATAGATAGATAGATAGATAGATAG